TTTTGAAATGGTCGGTGTGGTTAGATAAAAGAATTGAGTGTTATGGGCACTTAGAACCTAAAAAATTTAGGGTTTATCCGGAGTGATAATTGATGATTGTCACTTGATTGTGTAGATTACGTATTACTCGAGCTACCTCGTGTATATAGAACGTGTGAAACTAATGTTGAGTTACAACAATCCTTTTATGTGACAAAGAGTTGAGGTAAGGAAATAATTTATACTATTTGATTATTTTGCTTAACTATCTGCTTGTCAATATGTTAAATTTATTACTTAAAATTTGATAACCTTGCATATTGCGAAATGTGGTTTTGTACATGAAAAACTATTTATAAATGATGAGAATGATGAAAGTTTTATATAGACTAGTTGAGAAATTTAAAATGTATATGTGTTATATATGATGAGTGTAAGCATGATCATGTTAAGGGATGAGAGTTCACCCGTAGGAAGGAGTAGTAAAAATCCATGTGGCATGTATCTCCTTAATGTCTAGTGAGGCACGATGATAGAGATTGTCTCTTTAGTATCTATGCGGGATGCGGTGTTGGAGAATGACGCTCCTTAGCTTCAATGATGCGGCGTTGGAGTAACGACACCCCAATTCATGTGAGATAAGGGGAGACCATAGTTTAAAAGTAGGATAGGATGCTTTTGGTCGGGTGATTCTACTACCGAAGGTGAGCTTGGACCATTATGGATGTGCACTTAGTTCAAAAGCCTATGGTTTTAGTCGATGTGATATGGAGGCTTAGATGATAGAATGATCATACTAGTGGTAAATAATTTATATTGATGAAAAAGAGTATGTTATAATACGCTAAAAGTATATTTTGGAGCTTTATAGCTTTATTCTCTTATGGTTGTGTACGTTAATTAATAGTAGTGAATTATTCTAATATTAAGATGTTTATCTCAACCTGTGGTTATATTTTACAGGTGAAGGATCTAGCAAGGGCAAGGGAAAGGAAGGGGCAACTGGTGAAGAACGTTGTTGTATAGCTTTTCCCTTTCTTTTTGTGGGTTTGTAACGAATATGCTATGTTATAATACTAACTTAAGAACATGACATTATTTTGAGATATCACTTGTATAAATTTATGATAAATGTGCGTATCTTAGTCCAAGGTTGATGTTATGTGTGCTTGGCTAAGTTACTTTTACAAGTAATATAATTAAAGTAATTTATGTGCTAAAATGACCTAAGTTAACATGTGCGTTGAATTTAATCCACCCATTTGTGTTATTGTAAAATTAGAGTTTGGTGGTCATTTTGAGTATGATTGATTAATTGTGTGATATAAATGAATTGTCATGTTATGTGTGGTCCATTTGATGTGGTCAAAGTGTATCTAGGGCTAATAACATTTGGTATCGTGAGTTAGACACTTTTGAATGTGTTTTAAGGTGAAAACAAACTATTTTGAGTTTAGGTGTCCATCTTCTTAACTAATGATTATTTGAGTGTGAGACCAGTGCCATTAGTTAGAGGGTTAGAAGAGCTTTGTGTGGATACTTAAACCACTCAAATTGAATATCGAATGACGAAACAACATTCTCCAAAAATTTAGAGAGCTATCATGACAGCAATTTGCTGTCATGACAGTATGTGCACACCGTGGTGCATGGTAGTTGTGCCGCAGCGCAAGTGGCCTTCAAGGGACTCAACTCTTTATGCCATCCGTTATGAGGATCGCGGCTTGTGTTGTGGCAAATGGGCCATAATATGGAGAATTTTTAAATTTGCTTCAGCTTGTTTCAATTACTATTTTGATTTTCATGCTTTCGTTACCATATTTAATTAATTTTGAACTATAGTTTGAACTCAAAAAATATTTTAAAAAGGATTTTCTTGAGATCTCATTATTTTAACTAATTATATTTTAAAACCCTTAGGTTATGATAACCTTTGCTTGGGATTTTATCTAATTCTAGTTATCACAACAGCAAATAAGTGTGTTGTTTTGGTAATGTCAAGGTAGACATTATACAAGGAGTATGGCTTGGGTGTAAGTGTTTTGGTTTAGGGTGCAAGGGGTCTAACTTTGGGTGCCAATTACGAGGCATGTGTTATATCAATGTGAATTACATATAATTCGTAGTCATTTACATGTAATTCAATTCTACACTTACATTTTTATTCAATCTTTCAGGGAAATCCCTTTATCAACATTTTGTTATAGCTCACTTGAATTATGATATGCATGTAAAAACTTCTTGACTTGAACTTTTTTTCTCATCTTCAAGCAAAACTTTATGCTTTAGTACATCTAAAATAGTATGCTTGAAATGAAAATTAGTAACTATCACAAGTGGATCATTCAATCATTAAAACACAACACCCACAAAATTACAACTAGTAATTCAAAAGAAAATTAAATAAGTCATTACAATTTACAATTGCCTTGTGAGAAATCTAGATTCCCTATGACAGCTGACATAGGGTGATTTAATGTTGTAACAAGTTTGCCTTGTATTATGAAAATAACAAAGAAAACATATTAAAGACAAAATTGCAATATAAAAAGCACACCAGTATTAATTCAATACCATAAGCTAATATGCTAATCACAAGATAATGTTGAAGTTACAAACATGAGTAGATTAAAAAAGTGATGGATTCAAGATATTATTGATACTTGAAATATAAATTTTTGGAGGTTCATTATGAAATTCTGAATATTTACATGATTTCATTATGATGTTAGGCATGATTTAGTCAAGTAGATCATGGTCAAGTATTTCATTTATATTATATCTATTGCAAAATTAAGTGATTCCAAACAAAATGATTGCATTTTGTATGCATAGACAAAATTTATTTCTAAACAAGGCATCTGAAGTATACCACAAATTTATTTGAATAAACAAGAATAACAAAAATGTATGTATTGCAATTTTATAGTTCCGGTACAATTCCTCCATTCCAACAACAAAACATTAAAAGGTAGAGATCTAGCTTATGCTTCTTTCCTAGTTCTTGATAGAAGTTCTGCAAAAATACAAGAAACATTCAGCTGTAAAATAACTTTTTAAGATTTGATGTAAAAACTATAATGGAAAATGAGATGTATAATAAGAACTGAAATTTTACATAAACTATGCCTCAAAATGCTAAATTCCATAAGTGACTGTATTTAATAATTAGACAATTCTTTCAATCTTTACACAATGTATCATAATATTTCCTAATTTCTGAACCATTACCTTAAATTTCATATTGTAAATCAAATCATATTTCCTCAACACAAATTGAGAAATTGTGTTGGCCAAAGTAATCTCCATTACATGATTTGCTTATAGTTGTGCTCCAAGAAATAAAAGCATGTGGCAATTATATTAGAAATAGATGGTGTACAATTATATCATGATTGTTGAACCAATTAAAAACCAAAATCAAAACTATAGGAAGACTAACCAGCAACAAAGCATAATGCTATCAAAAAAGTGGCCAAGCTCAATGAAAACGAAGAGAACGCAAGCCATAGGGGGAGGAAGGTGGTAGGCCAATGAGAGAGATGATGAAGTGAGAGACAAAGGATGATGACAGACAAAGGTGGAAGCTTGAAATATAGACAAAGAGCAATGTTGAATGGGTAAAGAGCATTTTCATCCATTCTTTTCTAAATATTATAACAAATTTGGGCTTTAAATTTCATTTGATTCTTGGGCACAATTTTCTTCTCAAGCAGGTCTTTTTCACCAATTCTCTCTTATTTATTTTGAACATTTTGAGGAAAAAATGCATTAATTATACATCGAAACACTAAAAATATTTTATATTTTTTAACATCAAACCCTCAAAAAATGTTTATATTTTTTAACACAAAGAGTATTGTTTTATACCCAATGTTCTCCACCTATTATAACTTGTAATTAATATGCATTATATATTTTAATATTTAAATTATTAATTTTTTCTATATGTTTCAAAATTACTCGAAAGTTTAGAAAAAAAATCATATTGTATTTTTTTATATTTATTTTTATATTATTTTGGAAACACTTCCTTGAAACTCAATTTATTTATATTATGTTTAACTTTTTAACATTTACATAAGTATATACATTTACATGTCATTATCATATCTTAGAAATTTAAAACTTACCATTTGCAACATATCAATTTATTTGCTCAATTTTTTTCGATTTTCAATGAATCTATTCGCTCGCATTATTGTTCTTTGTCAAGATAATGCGGATATATGCTATCCCAGTTTGCCAATGAAAACAAGTGCATTCATGTGCTAATGTGCAATGGACTCTTACTCACTCGCAAAAAACAAACAAACAAACAAACAAACTCTTATTCACTTTAAAGAATTCAAAAATATCAACTATTTCTTCATATAAAATATTTTGATTCTCAAACATACCGATCAGTATAAATAATTGCAAATTCAAAAAATTTCAATTCCGAATAAATATTTAAACATTAAATATAACTATTAAATTGTAACAAAATTTTACTCATAACTTTGAATTAATATTTATAATTCATTTTAAAAAAGTTTTGTCAAAAACCTATCATTAATTCATCTTTTTAAAATATAACTATCATTTTAAAATTTTATCGAACACCGACAAACGAGTTGTAACCAGTACGGTCATATTAGCATTTAAAAATACGAGGTTAAATTATCGGTTACAAGTTATCCAGCTAAAAAATACTTTAAAAACCAACGGCTTTTGCCAACTTTTCTTTATCTCCATACGATGTTTTCGCTTTGCTTCTCCCATCGCCATCTGACCTATATATATGGTTGAAAACGACGACGCCTAATGCAAATCTAAAATCTATATTAAAATCTGTGGCTTTTTACATCAAAGAGGTACCGCGAGAGCACAAAGATGCGATGACAATTCTAGGAATAGGGCTTTGAGGGGTGAGGCCTTCTTCCTTCCCTACTTCAAAAACTATAAAACCTGCAAAGAAACTATTGGCAGAAAGCTAACAGAAACGTTCATTGTGGCGGTTAGTCCAGGCAAGCAGAGCAGGGGAAAAGTTGAGATTGGTGTCACAAGTTCAAAAGATCTAGCACTGAGGTATACTATACTTCTTCTATTTACAGAAGAAACATTACTTAAATCACATACATGATGAATGGCGTTGCTGTTACGGGATACAATAGCATCAAGACAAGCATTAAGAACTGCAAGTTTCTAATCTTCTATTACTCCTCTCGCTTATGATATTCACATCACTGTACATTTCTCTTTTGACTTCCCTTCGGCCTTGGAAGAGGAAGATGGATGCCTTTCGCTGTTTCTTGCCGCCTGCAAATAGCATCCGTTTGTATTCAGATAAAAGATCTTGTATATGACCCAAAAAAAAAAAAAATACCATAGTAGAGATTATTTTCCCTCAAACATTTAAAATAAAAAAATAAAAATTCACGTTCCCGGGGATTTGAGAGAAACATAGGCAGTAATTAAAAACTTCAATTACGAAGCACTAGCCAATCAATACAAGCTTACACAACTCGCATGTGAGATTGCACTTGACCAAACCAGTGACGATCTAAACTTACAGTGTGGTGCACATAAATTCAATATAATTGAGCATAAATCTGTACACAGGCATCCAAGCATCAACTCAATGCAATAAATGACAGGCAAACAAAATCTACCTGGGGAGGACCTGTGACCAGTCTGGAACTGCCAATAGTGGATGGTTGCTGTGAATTTTGACGAGGTGGCGGTTGCTCAAACTCCTGTTGTTGCAAGGCAATTGCTAGTTGCAGATCCGAACTGTTGCAATTAGAGTTAAGGTTTGTGTAAGTTTTAAATCAATAACTTGAGATACCCCTGGAACAATAACAGGTTTCAATTTGGATGAGGAGAAAATATCCTTTTTTTTTTCCCTAAATCATTCTGAGTTTTAAACCATGCCAATGACAATGAAATATCTAACATGGTCACGGATGGACAAAGAAACCAAGATGTACAAACAATAATAATAATTTTAAGCTAGAAATGTTTTCCACGCTGTCAAATAAAAACTTATATAAATATATATACACACATGGCAGTAGCAAGTTGGAAAAATTACTTTATATCTAAGCCTGCCTGTGCTGCACTATTTATGCTGGCAAGATAATCCTGAAAAATGTAATGTTAATATCAAGGAAAGAATAAGCTCGGATGTTTCACTTTTAAAGGATATACATACAGCAGTACTGGTCATAGCATTATGCTCGTCCCAGCTGTTATTTTCCTGACTTTCTACCTTAAATTCCTTGAAATTACCAGTCATAAACAATGTATCACCATTGACCTGCAATAAAAATACAAATCAAACTAATACATTGTAATCCAAAATAATTCAGAATTTATGTAACTAAACCATTCATGTCTGCGTCTCTATGGTTCCGACAGCATGCTTAGCGCATCTGTTGAGCAATTCGTAAGTGCTTTCTGATTTTTTGGAGGTACTTGTCCAGTGACCAAAGTTCCGTTTTGTAGCAGTAGAATGTGTCTAAAGAGAAGCAAGTATTTGGAACTCAAATAAAAGGCAGAAATTAAAAGAAATTAACCAAGCTGCAACATTTCTTCTTTTCAACAAAATATCTTGATTAGCACCGTCACAAACAAGTAATTTGGTGTTTAGTTAATTCATCCCAGAAACCTTCAAGCATTGTTGAGATTCTTTTTCTCGGAGTAATACTTACAATAATAATATTGATGGAGACTAAGGTAGTATGAGATGCCTGATCCCACGTGAAGTAATATGGGATGCTCTATGTGGTCTTTGAGTGAGTTGCTTCTCCCACCTCAATAACTAATTTCTAGGCGAAGGTTTTCTGTCCCACTTGAATACCCATTAATTAGTATCGATGCTAGTGATAGACAGTTCTAGAAATAGCTATCTACGGAGGGTTCTTACTTGTTGAGAGTTAACCAGCAAGGAAGTTGGTGAACTGTCACCAAGTGTCATAAAGTGGGACCCCTAGAACACCAGCTCTCCTAATGACTAATTGATAGAGAATAAGGTAGCATAGGATGCTTAAGTTTCACAAGGATAAGACGGGATGGATGCTCTGCAAAGCATTTAAGTTGATTGGTTCTCTCGCAGTATTAGATAGCTTTTGGGAAGGGTGTCACATCTCACACAAGTGAACTCATTCATGGCAATAGAAATTCCATAGCAAAGCCAAAGATACAAAAAGGCTATAAAATAAACAGAGGAAGAAATGAAAGATTCCCCACGTGGTATTTATACACAGAAAAAGCATATTTTGCATCCTCAAAAACTGCTCAAATTCTGTCAAAAGTACATAAATGAAGCTCACGTAACCAAGATGAGAACTTTGCATGTCCTCAACAAGATGAATTTTAAAATTTGAATATGTAAAACTTACAACAACAAAAACAAAAACAAACCTTATCTTACTAGATGGGGTTGGTTGCATGAATTACATAACGTTATTATGCTCTATCTAAATATGTAAAACTTAAATGCAAAAAACTATAACTCCCACAAACATTGGAATCATACTATATTTTGACCAAAATCTGGAAGTGCACACCAGCACCCCGTCTCCCATAAAGAAAATAACCACCAAAAAAAAACAACTGTTGAAAGAAAGTCAGATGAAAAGGATAGTTCAGAAAAGAATTCTACCTCATTCAGTTTTTCCCACACCAAATCAGGTTGGTTGATGTATCCTTGATCTGTAGCTAGAAGATAAAGTTCATCCTCATACTGTAATACAGATAGATAATTATGTATTTCTTGAACTAGTACATAATCGATTATGCCAAACTAAAGAAACTTTATCACTGATAGAAAAGGTACTTAATTCAAATGACCAAAGCACCAAATACAAGAACCATCAAAGCTTTTCACTGACCTTAAACATGGTGCTGAAATGATTGTTACGGAAAAAAACACATAACTCGCGCTCTTTAAGACCTTCTTGTAAACAAAATAGGCTGCAGAAGCATATAAAACGCAAATATAGAGACTTAACCATGGACACTGAAGAAAACATATGCATTCAGACGTATAGTTAGGAGAGATTTAGAAAAGGAGGACAACACAGTAACATACCCATAAAATGTCAACTGACTGGCATTGTTCCTCAAGAAGCTCCTGATCAATTCCCCTGAGACCATCAAACAAGAAGATATTTCTTACTTAAAAAAATATACTTATCCATCAAAAACATAGTTTTACAAGAACCCTACATCGCCCTAGTATATAGCAGCTAAGACAGACCTTGTTGGAGTGTAATTTCATCCTTAGTGCTTGGATCAGAGGGCGTTGGAATGCTTTTGTCTGCTTGTTCTGCAAGCACTACCTCACCTTCGTAGACAGGTTCATTATCCTGAAAGTTTGCATTTCCTTTATCCAATACACATTCCTCTCCTTCATATATGGGCTCACTCCCATCAATGCTTGAAGACAATACTTCTTCAGAGGAATCAATTTGCTGAACTCTGCCACTAGACGATTCTGAATTTCTATCAGTTGCAGATAATGATAATCCTGTAGGATCATGTTCATGGGTTTCATCTACAGCTCTATAAACATTAGTTGTCACAGTGGGCTGATTGTGAACCTTTTCACCCCCTTCTGAGACATCCATATGGCTCTCTATTGAAGACAGGCAACTTTTTCCAGAAGAATGGAGAGGTTCACTTTCATTCTGAACCAAAATATCAAGACCGTTCTTATTCTTATCAATGGATTCTTTGGGCCCCATATGAGTCAATTGATCCCAGCTATTTACCCCATCAGTCTTTACAGATAAATTGGCTACTTCCCCCATAGTAGGTGCAGAAGCTATCTCCTCAGCGATATCACTACCAGAACCAGTGCAAATGCAATCATCACGGATGAGGGGTACTGGTTCATGAGAGTCATTGTTCTCAGAATCAGTTTTCTTTCTAAACTCATCTCCAGAGTTTATGGCAATAACCTTGTCAAATGAATTGTCATCCTTACTGACAGACATAGTGGTTTCATTTACATGATCCTCAACAGCATTACTCACTGATGTTATTGAATCAGCCTCAGATAACTTCAAAGCTCTCAACAGCTCTGCCTCTTCTTCAAGATCCCCTTTTCTGAGCATTTGTCGATCAGAAACAGAATGTGGAGAATCATCAAAGGACCTGGTTTTTGAGAGACTTGGAGAAGGAACACCAAGAGCTGCAGTTGTTGCAGCCACAAAATCAACACAATCTTCTTCAGGACTATTCTTATGCTGACCTTCCATGTTTCTTGTTTCAAGAGCAACAAGCTCCCCCATAAGAGCATTATAGGACTTGGACCCTATTGCATTAGCTGTATCATAATCCTGGTTCACAAGCACACAAAGGTTTTTGGCATCAAATTCTAACCAGCACATCAAGAAGAAATAAATGGATTTAACTAAATAAATTATGACATCAGAGAACAGAAAAGTCTGGCTGTAGTGTCAAGGAAATGGTAAAGCCAGGTGAGGTAACAAATAGCTTCCATCCAAAAGTGCATCTTCCCAATGTCAAATAGGCAAGCTAAGAACATATCAAGTATTCCACATGAAAAAGATTATTTTAGAAGAAACAGAACTGACAGAGAAGCAAACAAACAAATCCTAATAATTTGCTATTGGATATCTTACATAATTCACCTAACTAAAATCTGACCAATAAAGCTGTATTTTGTCTTGTTAACACAGTCAACCATATATTGTCTTGACACCCTGAACACACACAATTGAACCATTTCATCCGAGTAATGTAATATGTGTTACATCACGCATCATACACGTAGATGATGTTTTACTTGTTTTAGTTGAAAGCATTCATATTCATAATATTAAGATAATCGAAGGTGGCCTCGTCATCAAAATTTTAATAGAAGGTTGTCAAAAGCTTAATACAAGAAACTAGAATTGTCAAAACTATAAGGACCATAGGATCAAATTACAAAAGTTTAAATTATAAGGACTAATTTTAAATTTAAATTACAAGGACTAATTTTAAAACTGAATGGTAATACATGGATCAAAAAAGTAGTTCCCAAAACCCTACTCTGATGAGTTCAAAAATAGCAACAACAAAATTCTTGCCATAAAGGACAGACAGAGGATAGGCTCATGATGAGAGGCCCCCAAAATCATGGAGACTAGTGAGTTGCCAACCAATGGCACGAATAACATGTGGATTAATAGAGTTAGAGTGTATCTAGAACATTTGTACAGCAATCAAATCATTGCTGCTGTGTGACATCAACAAAACTACTTCCTTTATATACAGGCAAAACAGAAAAAGCTTACCTGAGGATCAACAATCCAGCCATGATACAACGGGATGTCCAGCAGATCAAATATAGCACATTCTGGAGTGAACTCAAAATCATTTATTCTGCAATTACCAAGTAATCTTTTATCAAACCATCAAAGTGGATAATTAAAGCCCATGTCAGGCAAAGAAATCATCATAACTGACCTGGTAAATTTTATATTTACATCAATGCCAGTAGCAAGTCTTGGAAGCAAATCAATCGCGTCGGAAATGTTCTGTAGCTGATTTTTGACATAGCCTGCATCTTTATTCTACAAGCAATAAGAAAAGTTGTCAAAGCAACCTACACAACAATAGTAAGATCACAAAAAATCACAAAATAAACTTGTCAATTCTTACATTCACATTACTGTTGGAATCAATTAATCGTTCAGCAACCAGTGAAAGCAATTTCTCCTGCGAAACTTCAGCAATATCTGGACTCAAATTTAAGATGTTTCTTAGCAGCAGCACATTACCTGCAGCCATATGATATACAAACCACCATTAATCAGAGCATTGCAAAAGGGCAAGAAAGATCAAATTTAAAGTATAAAAGACAACTAAAGAGCATAAATAAAGCACAGAATTTGGTCAACCAAGGACTGAGATAGAAAGATTCTAAGTTTTAAATTATCATCCAAGAGAGCTAGTTTTTGCTAAAACAACAACAACAACAACAACAACAAGCCTTTATCCCACTAGGTGGGGTCGGCTACATGGATTGCAAGACGCCATTGTGCTCTATCATTTATTAAGCTTTTAGAAATATTATTAATTAAGAGATCACGTTCAACAAAGTTTTTGCTAAAGAACAAGAAAAAAGGAAAAAACTAATCTTTTGGTCCATATAGTGGACATTAGTTTTTGAAATAGATATATTTGCCCCTTTGACAAAAAAAAAAAAACAATAGATATGTTTATCAGTAGTTTAGTCTTTAAGTTGATGATGTGGCAAAACAGTGCTAATGAATGGTTGAAATGGCAAGTTAAATGCTTATTTGGATGCCAACACAACATCTTGATTGCTGAAGAAGTAAGCTGCAGTTTATACATCTGCATGACTACAACAGTAGGAGCATTATGTACTTGGAGTAGTTTTGTGTTTCTCCATTGAGCTAGCATTCTTTTCTCCATCCTTAGGGCCTTCATGCTTGGCCTTGTTAGTCTTGTGCTCCTTCTCTTCACCATCATTGTGTTCAAAATCTTCACCCTCAGCACCATCAACCATCAAGCTAAATTACAAGAAGTTCATCCCTCCAAATCACCAAGACCATTAGCATCATCCTAAATTCCCAATCTACTTTTACAAAATACGCTTCTCACTGCAATATTAATTTTGCACTCATCTGCATTCACCTCACAGAAAAGCTACAATTTTAACTCATATAATTGGTCTGAGAGATGAAAGAAGCAAGTATGTGCAGCAAGAAGAGCATAAGCCCACAAGGGAAATAAAGATGACTTCTTTCATGTTATCCACAAAGTTCTTTTTTGAGATACTCCTTATGAATAGCTTAACAAAAGAAAGAAAATTAAATAACAGTTAAAATAAATAATTGATTTTAGAACTCTAACAACAACAACAAGCCTCATCCCACAAGGTGAGGTCAGCTACATAGATTGCATGACACCATTAAATTCTATTATTTACCAAGTTTTTAAAAATGTTATCAACTAAGAAGTCTCAATGAACAACTTCCATAAGTGTTCTCTTTGACTTTCCTCTATCCCTCTTAATAAGGCTCAAAATTATCTATTCCACTTTTCTCACTGGTGCCTGTCACGGTCTTCTTTGTAGTCCAAACCATCTTAAACAATTTTCTATCATTTTTCACTCAATAGATGGTGGAAAATATTGATGCTCTGTTTGACTGGCCCAAAATAGAAGTAACTTTGTTCCATATAAATGATTTCTCTTTCATGTTATTCAACGCTATCTTTATGTCAAAATTATAATTATTATTTTAGCAACCAGTAGACGCATTTTGCTAATAATTCTTGTTTTGGTATTTGTATCACCATTATACGAGCAGCAATCTTTTCAACTTTGACCCATGCCTCTGCACTGATTGATCTTCAGCTTTTACCTCTGTTTCTGCAATTTCCTGCTGAAAACTTAAGCAGCAGACTTTGACATTTGTTTCTGCTTTGTTAATTTTGACCCTTCATGATTTTCAGCTATCACTCTGGCTCCTCTTTTTCCACAATTTCTTGAACTCTCTTCTTGATCAAATTCCCAAGCTGCCAGATAGAAGGATTTCTTGAACTCTGTTCACAGCCATCTTCATCGCCCAAATGCTCTTAATCCCAGGTTAATGGCCATGAATGCTGTGGCTGTCTTTGGCAGTTTTGTCCAAAAATGTTTTATTCCTTCACACAGGGTGGCTTTCCTCCCATTTTGTTAAGCAAATTTCCATTCTTCTAAATTTAAATGATGGGATTCTTTCTCCAAAGAATATTCATTGAACTCGAGCAGCCAAGCATAAAATGTGTAGGAATCTTGATTAACTTTCCATTCATTGGGGACATTTTGGCCCATGGAGACCAAGAATGAGTTACGAAAGAAAAGAACAGAAGGAGAAGCAGCGAAGAAATACATAGATATGTGAGATAGAGGGTAGAGGAACAAAAGGCTGAACTCAATTCCTATTATGCCAAAAGCTTCAATCATAAAACTTCCCCATGCCTTATATGGACACGAGTCCAACAGCTATTTTAACTACCCATCCCTATAACTACCTTACCTAACTCTCTTATTTTGGATCAAAATGACATTGTTTGAGGAAATATTTGACTGAGAGAAAAAAAAAAGGTGAACAAGAAACTTGTTATTATTCAATGACTTTTGAAAATTACTAAGTTTTCTCCCGACTATTGTATTAAGTAGAGGAACAAAAGGCTGAACTCAATTCCTATAATGCCAAAAGCCAATCACAAAACTTCCTCATACCTTGTATGGACACAAGTCCAAGAGCTATTAACTACCCATTCCTATAACTACCTTAACTAACTCTTATTTTGTATCAAAATGACATTGTAACATTGAGGCAATATTTCACTGAATGACAATAAAGGAGAACAAGAAACTTGTTATACAATGACTTTCAAAAATTGAAATATAACAAGAGTTTTCTCCCCACTAATGTATTGAGTAGAGGAACAGAAGGCTGAACTCAATTCCTGTTATGCCAAAAGCCTCAATCAAAAAAATTCCTAATGCCTTGTACGGACACAAGTCCAACAGCTATTGACTACCCATTCCTATAACTATTAACTACCTTAACTAACTCCCTTATTTTGCATCAAAATGACATTGTTGAAATATTTGAATGAAAGAAAATAAAGGTGAACAAGGAACTTGTTATTATACAATGACTTTTGAAAATTGAAATAGAACACGTGAGTTTTGTCCTTAGTATTATATTTATATCAACAACCTCAAATGCTTAGGGTTAGGCTCAACTAGCCTTTTTTATTTTCACCAGCATCTGTTATGATCTTTTCAGTATGATTGTAGGGGAAAACTCAGACATCCTCCTATCTCCATAGTAGCATTATATCTAAAACTAAAGGACAAAGCTGAAATAGCACTAGATACTCTTGAATATATTTTATCATTTAAAAAAAAATTGTACTCGCACAACAAATTACTCCACCTTATTGACCTTCCAAAGGAAATAAATAACGCAACAAGCAGTGTCGAACAAAGGGGGAGAAATGAGGTTGGTGCCAATATGAGCGGTTGCGATAAACCTAAAGTCAGACCAATAATGTTTGTTGGGTAAATTTACAGGGAAAGGATACGATAAGGAGCTCCTGGCCTTCAATCGACAGTGACTATGACAACAAAAATAAAATAGAGCCAGAGTGCGTAAGAGTTTGATGGTAATAAGTAATCCTTCAACTAAGATCAATCGGCCGCTCTGAGAAGAGTAATATTAATACTTCAGTCTCAACCATTCCTAACTGAGCGAAAATTCGTTCTGGTATCGAGAAATGGAATCATATAGTGCAATTGAGGAAAGCAAATATCGACGAGGAACCTACCGTTCAAACGTTTCAATTTCTTATGAAATAGGAACCACCAAACGAGTGCCTTCGGAATCGAAGAAAAAGAAAGAAACGCGTACGTAAGAGCCGAAGATGGGAGAAAGACTTACAGATAGCGAGGAGAGGGCAGGGACCGTTGTCATTTTGAAGAACGATTGGGATGGTGCGTCCAAGAAACTGAATCGTTTTGGTCTTGTGCATAAACTCTCTCAGTGCCTCCTGCTGTGGCGGCTGTGGTTGCTCCTTTTCCTGATCCCTCAGCTCATGTTTAGGGGAAGACGACGCCATTAATGAGAGAAGTTTTCTCTGGCCTGATGAAGACGATGGTGCACGTTCTTGGGTTGTCTTTAGGTAGAGAACAGCGATGAGTGGGCCAATTAGGATTTAGGAAAACAAAAAATTAGGAGGAAAATGACGAATGAGTAAAGTTTATTGAGTGCTGACGGCAATGTCAATGGGAATTTGTATCGCACTTTTTATTCGTTTTCTTGACTTTCCATTTCCAGGAAACAAGAACAGCCCTGGGATTTTAACTTTCACCCTAAGCAGGTGCTATTGCGAATTACTCCCCTAATTTTATTTATAAATAATTTTTAATTTTTAATATATTTTATCATAAGAAAAAAAAAGTTAAAGTTTCATTAATGCTGTCTAACAAAATTGGATAAATTGGCACAGCCAAAAAAAAAATTACCCAAAAAATATGGAGCAAATTTTTTAAAATTTAAAAATGTGACTGATACACATTGATATATAAGAGTTTATTATTGATATATAAATAATTTATCATTAAAAAGTTAAAAAATTATAAAATTTATCATTGATATACAACTGCATATCATTTACAAATATATTAAATTAATTATAATGTAAAATATAATAAATGTTAAACTGTTTGTTTGATTTAGTCCTATAATGTGGACTATATTTGTAAAAATTCCTTGAGAAATTGATTACTTTTCAACTTTATCCCTATAAATATACATATTTTAATAATGTATTTTCTCTTCCCAATATTTAATAAAGGTCAAATGAAAAAATGTGCTATAAAAATTTAATGAAGTGAGTTATAAATAATATAAGAAAAAATCCCATTTACACTCTCCCAATTTTGCTATTCCTTGTTTTTATTTTTTGTAATGAGCAAAATGAATAATGGGTGGGAAAATGACAATTAAGTCCCAAAGGGATTAATTAAATTCAATCAGGTCTCAAGTAATTTTAAAAGGCCGATGAAATTCTTAAATCCTTAAATAATATTTTGATATAACAAGAAACAACTAAAACACCCTTCTTCAATTTATGAGTTTGGCTGGTGGAATTTAGGCTTGCTCGTTCTCTTCTTTGCTTTAGCGACGAACACTTATGATTGACCAAAGGAAAGCTCTATATTTCTTCTTTGCCCTAACAGCTAGTGATGTACACCATGATCAAGTGAAAGATACTCTTCTTTGTCTTCTCTCTACAGTAATTAGTCTATAAGTTTGGCTAGACTCCGCTTCTCATCTTTGTTGTTTGTCGGTGATCAATTAGAGGTAAGTCTTCTTCTACCCTAATCATTGTTATTTTTTGCGTGTGTTACTTCTCAGCTACTCGTGAAGTCTATGGCAAAATCTCCCTATTTTCCTTTACTGTTATACCTAGTCTCTACTGGAGTGCATCAAAGTCTACCCCCATACAACATCTAAAATCATGCCATAAATCATTGTTATTTCGAATAAAGAATAAATGATATAGAGATATTTTAGCACCCATACACACTTTTACAGTCTTAAAAAAATACTGTATCTTCAAAGAAAATCATTAATCATTAAAAATATTGTGGCTATTAAAACTAAAAATTCAACATCCTTCTTGCTAGATGTCAAGCTGAGCCACATTGGGAAGATGTCCAAAGGTCTTTTGGCACCAAAGAATCAACTTCTTATAAAAAGATTTAGCTTAAATCAAGATTATTGGAGTAATATCTGACACATAAGTTTAATTTAAAGCTATCAAAAAATAATATAAATCCTTATTGTTGAACTTATTGAATAACCATGCTAATAAACTGGCTATACTTTTGATACATTTGAAGGAATACTACCTTAGTTACAAAAAAAAAAAATCAATTTTGGCTAAGGAAGGCAATATCAGAGTATGGCAAAAATTTGTATGTTTTGCAATTGTTGGATAAAAGCCTACTTTTTATAGCATGAATACAAGCCTAATTCTCTCCACCATATATATATATATATATGAAAGGGGACACCCTAGGGGATAATTTACATAATGTTGGATATAGAATCAAATTCAGCTCTTAAATGTGGAGAACTTACTTGAGCATATAATGAAAGAAAACCTATATTAAGATTCATCACATGCACAAGGGACTTTTTAAGCAGAGCACAATAAAATCTACTATGGACTATAACGCAGATGTCTCCAAAGATGAGGAAGAATTAAGCTAACCTAGTCCTACATAGAATTGAAGGTTAATTTTTATTAATAGAGTGCAAATATTTAAAGACATAACTTTTGACCAATCAAATAGTGAATGGTTTGAACAACTTCAAGAGATACGTTGTTATAAACTTAGTGTGTTTCCAAATCATTTTCACATTAAAAATTTCTCCAGCATTTTCCATCACAATACAAAGCAAGATCACAATGTTGATCTTAGAACTTATAGACCAATTCTAGGATAGAACTTTACTATTATTAAGACTAGCATTATATATTTACAAGAAAAAATTACACGACACACAATTTTCAAAAATAGGTTAACAATCTCATGTCAGATATGATCTAACAGCATGAGATATTCTCGCAAGAGTTTATATTATGACTCATACAACTACAAAACTAATATTACCTCAGTAGAATAAACTTTTGCCTTTCTAATTGCAGGTTTTTCCCTAGATAAAGCTCCTTCACCAAATAGAGTGATAGCGTCTAGGTTTAAAAGCTTTAAATGAACAAAGGATGGCTTTACAGCAATTTGCTATTTTTTATACACTTAGGTGTTTTTCTTTTGAGCATGAGCAGTTACATTTTCAAGGCTGCCTCTTGATGCCTCGAGAAGTATTATCTGATAAGCTTTTATATGTGAATTCTTTCTTGTGTCTTGACTTTGCTTCCTTCAAGGGCATAAGCCTATTTACTATGCTGAGGGATTTGAAAGATTATTACACATTTGAAATAGCTCTCTACCTTTACTTCACATTTGAAAGATTATAATTTATAACTTTGTTAGCTGAAATAATAAAGAACAAGAAAGCTGCAATGAAAAAGAAGAAGTCTGGATATGACAAGTTTAAAAAAGAGTTTTTTAAAAAATGAAGGAAAATACAATGGTTTTATATAAGCTAATAATTCAATAAAGACAAAGTTGGAGTAGATTATCAAATGCTGAACAAGAAAGATACAAAAAGATGGCTTTACCATATGGAGTAGGAAAAGATGATTATGCTTGATAAACTTGGATATAACATTGCAAACAGTGATTTCCTCTTTTTGCCTATACTCGTGTCCAATCATTAGTTTTGTTATTATGCTAACCTCAAGAATAAAATTTTTTTTATCCTTAATTCATTGGCTAGGAAGTTATATAAAGAGAAAATTATGATGGTTGGATTTATGATATAGTTTTTTTGATACTTTTGTATTACCACTTTAGGTTACCTAAATTTTCAAATGGAAAATGTTATCCAATGTTGGGAACTGTTTATAGAAAAATAGCATAGTAGAGTTATTATAAGCATGCCACGCCTAAACATATGAAGATAATTTTCAAATCGAGATGATATTTAAAGAGTTCCCAAACAAAGTAATGCGCAAGTAACTATGAAAATAACTACCTTTTTATGTATTCACTTCAAATAAACATTTTGCCTTACCTTAACCGCTTATATTTGTAGAGATGACTGTGAGATATATGTCATAAAATACTGTGCAAAATGGGATGGTAGAAAAAAGAAAAGAGGACTCACAATGGAGAACTTTTCAAATGTATGTATATGTGATCTATAATTTTTTTAATTTTTTTCTTTCAATTATAAATGTTAAACTTAAAATTTTCTCATGTTTTTTTAGAAACAATTGAGACAGTTTCAAGTGGATGTGGTGTGGTGGCTGGTTATCACATAAAAAATCAAGTGAGAAATAAAGCTTTTACCTCTGTTTAGTGATGCGAGTGTAATGTAATTACAATGTCTAACAGCTTGTACAACTATCCTTCCCTAACGCGACTATGAACTCTATTGTTAACCTCTAATATTGAAACTCATTAAGTGTAAATAGCATCAAGGATTTGCAATCTTATAACTTAATTTTGCAACCAATTTGCATTTAATTTGCATCTGTCTTTCCTTATTTTAATTGGGAACTCAATTAATCTTTAATGTTCAAACTTAAATTCACAAATTTGCAACTTCCTTATGTAGATTTTGTAATTTCTTTTCACAATTTTAAGTTGCCAAGCAATCAAGTTATACATTGTGAGAGAAACATTCAATAATTTGTAGAGCCGTCAATTACGGGCTCGACCCTTTTAAGATCGAAAAAATTGAAGGTTGAGCCACTACTTCGATCTTTAAAAAGGTAAATCGTACTTAAAAAAGCTGGCCCTTTTAAGCCTAAAAATAAAAGGGCCAGCTTTTTTAAGCCCTAATACATTTTTAAAAAAATAACAACATAAAAATAGATTAAAAAAAGAAGACACCACATCACTTAAACTCAATACTTACTCTTCAATCCAGACAGTAAACACACACATTATTATTTGCTTACTTTAAATATTTTTGCATTCTTTAAATACTTTAAAGTTATGATTTTGGTTTATTATTTATTGTAAATAATGAGGATGAAAAAGAAAGATATGAAAAGCTTAACATATTTGCCATTGATGAGGATCCACAAGGAAAATGATCAAATTATATTGATGTTGATGATGATGAAAATCATCAAAATTAGCTAATGATGCTACCAACATGTAATTAATGTCGAAGTTAATTTTGGGATGTTATTTTTTTTATCAGACTTAAAATTTTTGTTGTGTGAATTGATTTTATTTTATTTTTTTAGAGTTAATGTGATGTACAATAATTTTGTTAGGATTTAAATATTTTTTTAATTTTTAAATTGAAATTTTTTTTACAAATAGGGCCGGGGCCCTGAGGCCAGGGCCAGACCACTAAAAATAGAGTCTTGAGGCATAATTGGGCTTAAAAGGGCCAACTTGTTTAAGCCCTAGCTCTAATTGACACCTCTAGTTATTTGCAACTTAGATACCTAATTTTACAATTGCCTTAAGATAAATTTGTAACTCCTTTTCAAAATTTTAAGTAAAAGACTATTGAATTCTTAAACTTGCAATGAAACCAAGTTATCATTCTATGAGATAGCTCTAGTAATTTGC